AATTAATTTGATATGATAATACATGAATATAATTTGATAAAATAAAAGTGTTGCTTAGCAACAAACACTGCAGTTGGTGATTACTTCCAATTACCTGTATGTAGAGGTAAATCTAGGCAACACATATACAAGTGTTTTCTTTATATAATGAATACCATTATTTTTGTTGCCTAGACAACTGTTTTATTCTATAGTAAATACTCTATTTCTCCAATCAATGTAGAAACATAATTATTCCTACAAGCTTGAAAATGCTCATTAGTGCACATTGCCTTTTTAAAACAGGAATTACAAATCTAAAGATGAAGATGACAATATATAGAATTTACCATTATTGTCATTGATGCTGTCTTTTCTTCTGTTCGCAGTAGCCTAGTCATTTAATTACTTTCTATTATCAATTTCAGTCTGCTTATGTTTTGGAGAGATTGGTTAAAATCAGTCTAGTGACTTGGATGAAAGGCTACTTGCTGGTTGTTCTGTACGTAATTAGCCAATATTTCTTGTACATTTCAGTGCAACTCAGTCTGGAGGTGAAGAGCAATCACGACAGCAAGCCAACAATGAATTTGACAATTTCCGGTTGAGACGTTTGATCAGTGAAGATGAAAATAGTCTTAGTTCTCATTTAGAAGAAGCAGCTCAGGTGAGTTTATTAAAGGTAGCGACAAATTTATGATGGCGGTTCTGAATAAAGATTTCTCTGTCCATTGTGGCACCTGTTAAGCATGTATGTTTCTAAAGCGTGTTGGATTCTGACTGTCTGGTCGACAGCACTGACAGCGACATCATTGACTTTACCTTACTCTCTTCACCAGCAGACTTTTTTGCCTAAATTTTTCTGCACTTTTTTTCTTATATTCTTCAATATTTCTGGAAATGAACCCTAATTTTGCAGCCAACAGACAAAATTTGATTCGGTTTGTACCCCAAACAATTGGCTATTTGTGTCCCAATGTTCTGAAGCAAAGTGCAGAATATAAATGGGACTACTTTGTGAATTTGTGATGAAAAAAAAGTGATGAAGAAGTTAAATCAATAATACTATTCCTATTCAAATGATAATTTATTGAGGCATGGATGGATGAACTGTGTAATTTGTTACTCTTGTTTTGTCTCTACCGGTATTCTACAAACATATTCTATAATCAACATAAATGAAAAATAATCTCAGTGATGTTCTGTGTTAAATTCTATATTTCTTATGGTGTTTGTTGCCTTTGTTAGTTCCCTTGGCAGTTCTAAAATGGGCACTTGACATGCGTACATGCATGCTCCGTATATAGTTAGATTTCACACATGCTTGGAACAATGAAGTTCAAACTTCACACATACCACGGACATTATATCAGACATGTGCAATACATTTGTTCAAGATGGCCAATTGACAGCCATTTTAAGGCCAAAATTGCATCAAAATCACACATTTTTACCATTCCGGGACTGGATCTCAGTTGTGCTATAATTTGTGATTTGGTTAAAAATGGGCGTTGGAGGGCATTTTTTTTTCAAAGAATGATGCTCCTGTCATTGACAATGACTTGTTTTGATAATAAAGCCAAAACCATAGGTTGGTGCAGCTTAAATAAACCGGTTACCTGAACTATTTGATTTTTGTGCCTCAACTTGGATGTTTTCATTTAAAAAGTTGCTTGACAGGAAACACATTCTTTTGCCTTTCATTTGTGGTGGTGGTGGTGGTGGTGGTGGTGGTGGTGGTGGTGGTGGTGGTGGTGGGGGTGTTGGTGGGGGTGGTGGTGGTGGGTGTATTATTACAGCACTCAGTTAATCAAAAACTTTTTGACAGTAACAAACTTTGTTAGTTTCCAATTTAATATAATGTATTTATGTTGTTTGTTTCAGATAACAGAGCGTTCAGATACCACTCAGGTATCCAACACAACACCGTACAGTTCTCAAGCATCCCCACCTATAACTCAATCGCTGGATCAGTTACCAAACAGTTCTCTTGGTCCACTGCCGCCAGGTTGGGAGGCACAGAAGGCTCCAAATGGTCGATGGTTTTTTATTGATCATAATACAAGAGTCACCGTCTGGGTATGTATAATTATTGGTGTGTACTTTGAGATCCATACATATCTGGATTTCATTTTTGCTGATTTGCCATTTGAGTCAAAGAAAATTGTAAAAGAAAAAATTT